TTCTCGCGATTACAATATTTCCTGGCCGGTAGACGTGTAAAGTAAAAAGTGACTTTATATCGATTTTTTATTTCATTTTGTAGGTTTTTTGACATTATCTAGGTTTTCCTATAAAATGTCACCTTTGAACTAGATGACATTCAGTTCATGTTCACTTGTAGTAAGTTGGAAAGGAATGAACTAGCGGCTACGGGTCTAGTGCACAAGTTGACATTTTACCGCTTTTTTGACAGTATATTTTACGCGACAACCCTGCCGCACAAAATGAACACCTTCAGCATTCTGCTATTATCACAGCAATGTTAGGAAACAGAATTAAGAAAAACATCTGACATGATTCTTAAATTGTATGTCTCAAAACAAAAACAATAGGCAACACAAAGAGATGCAGATTATCCACTTTGTCCAGGTGCCCCCGGGTAAAGTGAGTACGCATATCACAAATAGTTAGTTAGGAACTTAATTTTATACAAAAATCTCGTGTACACGTAACAGGATAACTATCAGTGCTCTCTAATTTTGGACATGCTTCATGATACTAGTGATAGTATAATTTCAGTGGCTGTTTAAATCTATTTGCGATTTTTTACAAATTAACTGAGATTTGCTTTGATATTTTCGACTAGGCCCCGCTTGATTTGTTGTTTTTTTTTTTTCATATACCAATATATTTTCTGCAGCAACATACGGAACACTAATAAATATACGGAACAAAATGGAATCCACTTTGTCCAAAATTACTCATTACGAAGATTTTCTGTCTTTTACCAAAACCATCGATTCAATATTTTTCATTTACGTACGTATGACTGAGAAAGTCGTTTTGTTTTCTGATTGCCAAATAATCACACGGTTTCGTCTACAACTGGTTATTTCTGTAAACAGTTTGCCGAATATATACTAAGTGACATATAAATCCGAACACCCAGTTTAAATGGTTTTATTTTAATAAAATTTTGTATAAGTACTTAATGAAGCATAATAAGTAAATGATAAAAATTTCAAAATGATTGCACTGCTTTAAAGCCCTTTGACCTTTAATAATGTGTGGATGCACCCTGATTCTCCAACGCGCCTAGGCATGCTTCTGATCAGGTGGTCAATGTCCTCCTGTGGTATCTCATTCCAGGCAACCACCAACTCCTCTCGAAGTGCTTCTAGAGTCTGAGGAGGACATTGCAAATTGAGCAATCTCCTACCCATCATATCCCACACGTGCTCAATTGGGGATAAGTCGGGAGATCTTGGTGGCCATGGTAACAATGTGACATCATTATGTTGAAAGAAGTCTATTGTGACTCTTGCAACATGTGGTCGGGCATTATCTTGTTGGAAAGTTGGATCTGCCAGGGTGTCAAGATAGGGTAAAAGATGGGGTTCTAGAACTTCGTGGATATAACGCTGCGCGTTCATGTTACCTCTGATGAAGATTAAAGGTAACCTGAAACCATAAGCTATAGCACCCCAAACCATAACTCCAACAGTGTGATGAACATGTCTTTCAACAAAAAACTGTGGATTCCTCCTTTCACCACGTCGCCTTCTAACCCTGGCACGACCATCGTGCATGCCTAAACAAAATCGAGACTCGTCACTAAAGACAATACTGTTCCATTCCTGATCCCAGAGTGACCGTTGTCTGCACCACTCAAGGCGATTACGTCGGTGTTCTCGAGTTAAAGGGAGGACCCAGTGTGGCCGGTATGAAAACAAGCCAAAACTTCTCATTCGTCGGTAAACACTTCGCATGCCAATAGGTCTTCCGTGTTCTGCAAACCATTCATTTGCAATGGACCTGGTAGTGGAGAAACGGTCCCTTAAGGCCAATAATCTTAGGCGGCGATCTGTTGTTCTACGGCGGCGTCCAGTGCCCCTTGCTCTTTGCGTACGGCCTTCTCGAAGCCATGCCTGACAACACCTAACCACAGTGTCTACACTTCTTTGCACTCTATCTGCAATTGCCCGAAAAGAAAGTCCAGCTTCCCGAAGTCCCACTATACGGCCCCTATCAAACTCACTAAGTTGACGAAATCGTACAGGTCTCCGTACTCTAGGCATCGTAACCGATCGTAAAGGATGTCAAGAACCAAAATCCGCCAACGTTGATTCTTTACTGCGACTGAAATATTCATTTTTAGAGCGTTAGTGAATTAAAGAAAAACAGTATAAAAACCGGAATGTCCAACTGATAAGGCTGAAAAATTTTTCACTTGTTATTTACAGTAAGATAAATACATTCACCAACTTTTATTAAAATAAAACCATTTAAACTGGGTGTTCGGATTTATATGTCACTTAGTATATTTATGTACTTTTTCGTAATATAGTAGCCTACCCAAGGTTTGGGATCTAAAAAAGGAAATTCGCTTGGCCCGAGTTTCCCCTACTTTACACAATGAAACTAAATTCTATAGAAAATCAGGTGCCTTTGTCTGGAAGAAGGAGTTACCACTCAAATTTTACAAAAAAGTATCCACCGAGAAGAAAATGCTCTATAGAAGGTAGTAGGTACAATACTGTATGAGATTGTAAGAAAGGGATCATCCAGTCCATATAACGGATCCAGAACCTAAGTTGAGGTCAAGAGCGGATTTAGGAGTTGTCTTGAAGTGAAGGGAGGGGGGGTGTCGACGATTAAAAATTGAGCATCGCTTCTGAAAGCAAATACTCTTGTGTCAATTGAAGAGTGGGGTGTGGGATACGCCTCACGATTCAGGTCTAGCAAGGTAGTTTTTACACCGCCCTATGCTGAGGTTCCAAATAGCACAATAAGAATCCAAATCAAAGATTGTGTAAATCAGTAGCATATGGCATAACACAACACAATTGCCTGAGAAAACACAGCTGCAAAAAATTGGGCTATACGATTTGAGACCTAAATTGCAGACAATGTGGAAGAGGAACAGAGACGGCATTTCATGTCCTCTGTGTTTACTACCAACAGGAAGCTAGATAAAAACTACGAAATTGCTTTGTGTAAAATATGAAGTGCTAGGGTTAAAATATAAAATAAGTCTTAAAAGACAATCGTAGGCAGAGAACATTTATGGATACCAAGCGAAACTGCTTAAATTGACTTGAAGGAAGTTGTCAAATTGCTAATATCTATAAGTATCTATAACACCTAATAAATAAGCTAAAATGGATCCTTAAAGGCTGTGATGATCTATTTATGTATACAGTGCTTTTCAAACAAATACCCCCCCTGTTTATTTTTGAATGGGGGGGCTTTCTGAGAAGCATTGTATGTACAGATTCCGATAATTACTAAAGCACAGTCCGGTCATTTTTCCTCATGTATTTCGCAGCGCTGGCATTCCATCAATCTTACGAAATAAACGAGTTTCGTTCGTACCGCTAAAAATACCCGCCCACTAAGCATGAGCCTGTAAAAAAACAACACGGAACACGTTTGCCTCTTCACACACGAACGACTGCTTCGAGGTTACGTCATGCTCTTCTCATGTTTCCATATCCTATGCAAAGGTTTGCAATATTCCACATGGCTTTTGGGACGTGCAATAGTATAAAGTTGAAACGCGGCAGCGGAATAGGCATATACGTAATAATAACAATAATAATCCGTCTTTATTGATTTTTATAGACAAAGAAATTATAATAGAATGCCAGTGGAGAAGTCTAGCTAATAGCTATTGTACTTAGCCACTGGAGGGCGGCGCCCAAATAAGTATAGAATAAAATTAGAACTAAACCAAAGAATCCATGAAGTATCCGGATGTGTGGGCATGTGTATCTACTTTTATAGTTTCATATGTGCATTCATTTCGGGCCTGAGGAAGCCAACCAGCAGAAATACGTATCGCTCGGGTTACCTATCCTATTTTCTGCTCGAATCCACTTTCCTCTTTTTTGCGGATTTTGCCCATTATTTTTCTACTTTTTGTTATATACCTTTCTCCGCATGATCATTTTCTCTTTATATATATATATATATATATATATATATATATAGGTGAAAAATAAAGCTTCCGCCTTTAGTTGGGTACTTCGACAAAATTCAAGCAATGAGGACTCTTTATACTTTATTAGTCTCTAGCTTTCAATGGACTTTAGCATCATCATCAGGAGCTGCAATAACATTAAAAAGAAGTAACAACTATTGTGCAAAATTACTTACAATAGTATGTGAAATTGTTGCTAAATGTTATTAAAGGTTAAGTTGAAAGCTGGATACATGGTACATTCATTAAAATTAGTATAAAATACACATGGCTGTATGTCAGGACCACATCAAATCGGATTAAAAATATTTGGAACGAAAGTTAAATCATAAGCAGAATGAATAAAACATTTAACAGATGACAGAAGGCTGGTGGTGTCAGTGTCGATGGATGGAACGAAAATTTGTAAAAATGTGTACTATGTTGCCAAATCTCTTCAGATGGTGTGATTTATCAAGATATGTTAATTAAAAGCTTGTCAACAGACCAGAGGCAGTTGAACAAACTGTATTGTTAATGAGATGGACAATTGAATTAACAATTATTATTTTATTATGAGAAAAAACAATTATTCAAATTTGAATGGAATGGACATGTCTCAATATGCAGCCTCCTGCATCCGTTTGTTAAGTCATATTGCAAAACTTTTAGTAACCTTTGTATAGTTCTGTATAAAACTAGCCAGTCAAATGCTGTCCGACAACTGGAAACTAGTCATCCGACTAGTAGCAGCTTCTGTCCGAGAACTAGCAAACAAAACAACTTTATGACTGATATTTTTTTATAAAATTACAGGAATATCTATTAGCAATGTATTTGTTGTCACCGAAAAGTTAACAACATATTATATATATATATATATATATATATCACCACCAAAACAATTTGTATGTATTCCATTTTTGTCTAAACTTTCCGACCACTGGCATAATATTCAGTTACCCTGCACTTCCCCAAACAAGACCTGGGCCAGTGCAGCGATGCCACATCACAATACAGCAACACCGCACCGCGGTTCACTCTCTGTCTGTATTCCAGATGCGGGCGTCTGCAACGGCGGCGCAACTGGCGTCAACGCCACTGCACAGTCTGGCAACAGCGGCACCGGCGCAATGGCCGCGGGGGGCGCGGCGCCGGGGGCGGGTACCGCTGAAGACCGATTGGCTGGGGCATGGCAGGTGGGCGGAGCTAATCACACGCCCACTTTCTGGCAGTATCCCACTGCCGCTGCAGCCACCGGTGAGTATTATTATTTACAGTGGGATTGTTGGTTGTTGGTTAATGTTTAGTTAGCATTCGTTACCGGAACGTTGACTTGATTCTAGCTGTCATTTGAGTATTCGTTGATCGTAGGAGTATTTAGAAAATGACGTCTATCAGACAGACTGAAGTCTATATATGATTAGCCTAAAACATCATATCTTGCACATTGTGAAATTGTTACGTATTGCTATTCTGTGCGAATTATTATCACTGCGAAAGAATGTGAGAAGGGAAAGATGAGAATTACCGCAGAAAGTCTTAGATGTGTCGGTATCGTTTGAGATATTGTTGCTGTCAGGACCTTGTCCTAAATTAATGATTTGGTTCTGTGAGGTATTCAGTACCGCCCACCAAAGGCAGCACCAAGGGGGCAGCTGCCCTCTAGAGATTCTAAAAAATGAAGCCAAAGTCAAAGCATCCAAAGTCAATGCCTTTGTGGACCACTTTATTATTAAAATCTGGTTATGGGAATTCATCATAAACAAACCATTTCCATTTGAAGCAATTTCGGCCAACATTTTTTTGTTATATTTCTGATAGACCAAAAACATCATGGGAGTGGTATGTGTCCAACGTTCAGAACTACGATTTTTTTTGGGAATCGCAGATTTGCTTCTAAAAACCGGCAACTAGCTTTATTAAGATTTACTGCTGTACATTGTCGACTTGTAGAGCGAAAATAACATCCTTTTACAGGGTGAGTTTTTAGTGTGGACAAGATTGATAGCTCCGTTATTACGCATCGTATGTAAAAAATTGAATACGTAAGTACCAAAATTGTAGGCAATAGTATGCTCCTGACTTGGGAAATATTTTTATTCGTTCAGGGTGACTCATAAATACGTAGCGACCCAAATATACCTACATTACTTCAAATGGAAAGCCAGCCTAAATTTTATTGAAGATTTGAATAAGAAGCAATTTGATATAATGTACCTCCTAGGGTTTTATTTTCAAATTGTGGAGATATTGGACAAACTATCGAAAAAAAAAACACTGTACTAAATCTTTATTCAAAAACCTTTTTATGATGCTATGTTGTGTTCCTATCTATCTACTCTTTTAGTTTCTTGGATGTATTACTAACAGGACGGTTGGTCAATAAGACAAAATGAATGATTTCTCAAAATTTTCAAATAATTTCCGTTTTACATGATTTTTTGTGATATCTATACAGGGTGATTCACAAGTCGTAACCAAAAATGAAACGTCATACACAGGACTATGTAACATTTTCAGAAAGTCTGGCGGTGAGAGTTTTAAATCGGGAAGTTTTACATCCTTATCATCGGCAAAATGTGCAATGTCTGCAACCCGGCGACTAAGCGCAACGGCGAAATTTTTGTGAGTGGTTATTGCAAATGCACAATCAAAATGCAGATTTTATTGACTTCGTCTTGTAGTCAGATGAACCGCTTTTTATTTTATAAAATCCCCGTTCTGTAAGAATCCACTCGTTTCAACTCAGATGTTCTAGAAATGTCTGGTGCGGCATTTTCAATGGCCAACATGTATGTACGTATTGCCACAACGTTTAAATGCAAACTCATACTTAGCTTTGACATAACCGCATGGTTAAATAATCATTTTAGACAAGGATGGATTAGCAGAAACGGACCCGTACATTGGCCTGCGAGGTCTCCTGATTTGAACCCCCTTGATTTATTTTTGTGGGGCGCTTTTAAAAAAACTAGTGTATGCTGAACAAATTAATACTGTTGATCAGTTACAAAAAAGAATAGATCAAATTCAAGCCATAACAAATTTTGTAGAAATACGTTTTTCGTTATTAAAAAGATGCCGCACATGTTCCGTCAGAATGGTGGTCTTTTTGAATATTTATTGAGATGAAGCTTTGTTTATCTAATTTGTTTTTTTCATTTTTACGAGAACAAATTAAATAAAAATTGTTTTTTATTTTTAATGAAGCCCTAGAGGAAAAAATGTTACATAGAAGACCCCCTTAAAATGCGGTCTAATTTTTGGTCACGACTTGTGAATCACCCTGTATAAGGGGTTTGTTATGATTGTCATGATGGAGGATTGGTTTTTGAGTTACAAAAAACACACTTCTTAGCTTTTCGACTTTATTGCATGAGACTGGGTAGGCATCATTAATTTATAAAGATCTCCCGTTATTAACTAAATTCTATTTTTTATTTTGAAAGGTATTGTGATATTTCGTGATTTCGAACACGGTTAGCCCACCACAGTCCCAAAGCCTATAAATAAAACAAGCGTCAAGCACGTTGAGAGATTTTTATTCTGTTGTTTCGTTTTTAGTTTTTTTTTCTGACACTACTGGACCGACTTTCAAAACTAAAAAGCTTTTCGTCTTTGACATAGTAATACATTGTGTTCATCAAAATTCGAGCGGCACTTTTCAAGTTATAGGCTGTTATACGACTAGCGGCCAGCCGACAAACAGACAAATCGAACACCAGAAAACATATCGCATTTTCGAAAATTTTCGCGATTACAATACTTCTCCGCCAGTAGACGTGGGAAGTAATAAAAAACGGTTAGGTGTAACTCAAAAACGGGTCGTACAAACCTCCATAAACTTTAGATAAAAAAAAACGTTTAGAGAGGGATTTAAGGAATATGAAAAATCTACAGGGTGTTTTATTTAAAAAATTTTATAAATCGTTCATTAGGCGTTCTTGACCATCCTGTATAAACTGTCGAAAAACTGAAAAAGTGAGTAGAGATGGTAGATAGATATGGGATCATAGAATTATTCTGAGGAAAAACTCAGTAGTCTAGCTCGCGAATTGTCAAAGTTCAATGTTTAGTTCGCCCAGTGTCTTAACGATTTGAAAATAATACCTCATAGTATGTTACCAGCGCCACCTTCAACTAACGAGCCATGAACAGTAGATATGGCAACGCAGCTTTGGGGTCTTCCACAGACAGGTGTTTGCCGGGCTTTTCGTTTGTTTATATTCCTAACCTCCGACTTTTTGGTGCAATTTTGTTGTAAATCTCTGGGAACAGTGCAATTCATACAAACCAGAGTAATCTACTCAGTTTTGCTCTTCAAACCGTGCAGAAAGTATTTATTTTAGGTAGTATAAAATCGTGCTTTGATGTGTTTAAAATGTGTGTGAATCGGTGCTTGTATAGTGTGTAGATTCGAGTGGGTACATCTTTTCTTTTAATTAATATGCCTAAGCGTTGCTGTGTACCAGGCTGCAAGGGAAACTACGAGGCAGAATTGAGATCGACACCCTACAGGTCAGTGTTTCGATTTCCAAAAAATGAGGAGTTGAAAAGTAAGTGGCTAGCTTCAATACCGAGAAAGGACTGGTCGCCTTCTAAAGATTCTGTTGTTCGTGATGCACATTTTCAACAAGCAGAAATTGTCCGTACGGAAACTTATGTTCTGCAGGATGGATCAGCTAACACAGTCACACTGAGTCGTCCAAAGCTTTCAGAAGGTGCTGTTCCATCAGTCTTTCCAAATGTGCCATCTTATTTAAGTAAGTTTCTAGTAGAACAGATCCTGCCATCAGACAAGATAAGATCCTTCAAAGGCATGAGAATTTGGTTTCAGAATTTCAGGAAAAAGACAAAATTACAGGATTCTCAGATTTATTGGAAAACTATTCTAAAATGATTAAAATCCCTGAACATTGGTTGGTGAAGAAGACTAATGACAAAATTTATTTTTATAAATTAGAAACAATCAGTGAAATTTTAGTTTTGAATACGCAAATTATAATAGATAGTTCATTAGAAACTAAGGTATTTAATAAAGGGGATCCGCTCTCATGTAATGATTTGAAATGGGTGCTCCCATTTGACTTGAAGCTCTCTAGATGGTCTCAATTAGAAAACTTACTGAGTAGGTATAGTTTTTATTTTGATAATACAGAAACACTAGAAAATATAAATTTAGCCTATAGTCATATTCACAAAGGGATTGAGAATCTAGAACATGCTGTTAGAGTAATAAATCATGTGTCAGTACCTTTCCCTCATTTTAAAAATCTAGAAGTTTTAATTGACCAGCTCAAACAAATTCAAAATATGCTTTCGATTCAATGTTCGACTCGGATCGACCCGTGAAAACGCGCCTTAATAACGGCACACACCAGCTGGACGGCCGGACCCCAAAATGCCATGATGCGGTGTTGCCTTTTTCTCTTCATGGCTCGTTAGTTGAAGGTGGCGCTGATGTTACATTAGTTTGAATCGTTTGAAAGGATCTATCCAAATTTGCAATAAGGGCATTTCCATTGAAAAAAAAACATTTGTTGCGAATGAATCACTCTATAGAGATAGGAAAAATATTTTAGACAGCGTGCTGTCCATCCTGTAAGTAGCTTGTTACTTTTCAAATTTGGTTCAGACCAATAAATTACATTTCAATTATGTTGTGATCCTATTAGACTTAATGACTATCGATAGATATTGTATATGTATCTCATACCATAACTTTACGCCATTTCTCAATTAACATATAACATATCAAGCGATAAACAAGTAATACTGGAGTCGTAAGTAACTATAATTTCCTTTTCTGATCGTTTGGGTGCTTGTTTTTTGTTTTGCACTTCACAGCTGGCACCAAGCAGCCAATGGCGTGTCTATCTGGGAGACAGCTCCTTCAAGTCCAACACTTTTAATAAATCACTTTGCTAAGTGGAAAAAATTATTCAACTAATCGTTCACGCATTGGTACAAGCTTATAAAAGGTTCGTTCCATCAACGAGGCTCTGATAGTCCCGAAAGCTCTGACCGTTTTCAAAGCGATAAGCAAATGTGATGTTATTTGGATTGCCAGAAATGTCATATTTGCTCGTCTTCAAGAAAGTGTCAAGCGTTTTATGAAAAGTTGAATGTCTATCCAGTTCGGCACGCAGCTAACTAGCCGACGTAAAATATTTCAATTGTCTTTGTCGATCGCAGAAGATCAAGAACTCTTTGTTGGAACTAAATTAAAGAATTCGCGTCAAGTAGCTTGGCTCTGT